TGCACCCTCAAGTATCCTGGAGAGGATAAAGAGCTGGTCCAGTGTTCCGCGACCAGGACGAAAACCGCATTGTTCCTCCTGTATCCGAGGTTCGACTAACGGACGAACTCTCCTTTCCAGCACCCTGGCATAGACTTTCCCAGGGAGGCTGAGGAGTGTGATCCCCCTGTAGTTGGAACACACCCTCCGGTCCCCTTTCTTAAAGATGGGGACCACCACCCCGGTCTGCCAGTCCACAGGTACTGCCCCTGATCTCCACGCAACATTGCAGAGGCGTGTCAACCAGGACAGCCCTACAACGTCCAGAGCCTTCAGGAACTCGGGGCGGACCTCATCAACACCAGGGGCTCTGCCACCAAGGAGTTGTTTAACTGCCTCAGTGACCTCGCCCCCGGAAATTGGCGGGTCATTCCCCTCATCCCCAGACTCTGCTTCCTCCTCGGAAGACGTGTCAGTGGGATTAAGGAGGTCCTCGAAGTATTCCTTCCACCGCCTGACAATTTTCTCAGTCGACGTCAGCAGCGCTCCGCCAGCACTATACACAGTGCAGGTAGAGCACCGCTTTCCCCTCCTGAGACGCCTGACGGTTTGCCAGAATCTCTTCGAGGCAGTCCGAAAGTCTTTTTCCATGGCCTCTCCGAACTCCTCCCACACCCGAGTTTTTGCTTCAGCCACTGCCCGAGCCGCATTCCGCTTGGCCTGTCGATACCTGTCGGCTGCCTCCGGAGTCCCACAGGCTAACCAAGCCCGATAGGACTCCTTCTTCAGCCTGGTGGCTCCCTTCACCTCTGGTGTCCACCATTTGGTTCGGGGATTACCACCACGGCAGGCACCAACCACCTTGCGGCCGCAGCTCAATGCAGCAGCTTCGGCAATGGAGACGCTGAACATGGTCCATTCGGACTCAATGTCCCCAGTCTCCCTCGGAATGCTGTTGAAGCTCTGCCGGAGGTGTGCGTTGAAGATCTCGCGACTGGGGCCTCTGCTAGACGTTCCCAGCACACCCTCACTACGCGTTTAGGTGCACCGGATCTGTCCAGCGTCACTTTTCAAACCCAACTCATAAAAATGAGAAAAACTCATAAAATCAACAAGACGGTGATTAAAAACATTTTTTTTAAAGATGCAAGCCAGAGACATGAAACGGCAGACTTATAAACCTGTGTGGTTTCCAGAAGGGAGAGTAATAACAGATATACATATTGATAGAAATGTTGATTACGCCCCCTTCTAACACAGCTCCAAATCACAACAAAAGTTGCCTCAAGGCCCTTTATATTGTACAGTAGATACAGAGAAAAAGCCAGCAATCATATGACCCCTATGAGCAAGCACTATGGCGACAGTGGGAAGGAAAAACTCCCTTTTAACAGGAAGAAACCTCCGGCAGCACCAGGCTCAGGGAGGGGCAGGGCCATCTGCTGTGATTGGTTGGGGTGAGAGAAGGAAGACAGGATAAAGACATGCTGTGGAAGAGAGACAGAGGTTAATAACAGGTATGATTCAATGCAGAGAGGTCTGTTAACACATAGTGAGTGAGAAAGGTGACTGGAAAGGAAAAACTCAATGCATCATGGGAATCCCCCGGCAGCCTACGTCTATTGCAGCATAACTAAGGGAGGATTCAGGGTCACCTGGTCCAGCCCTAACTATATGCTTTAGCAAAAAGGAAAGTTTGAAGCCTAATCTTAAAGTAGAGATAGTGTCTGTCTCCTGAATCCAAACTGGAAGCTGGTTCCACAGAAGAGGGGCCTGAAAACTGAAGGCTCTGCCTCCCATTCTACTTTTAAATACTCTAGGAACAACAAGTAGGCCTGCAGAGCGAGAGCGAAGTGCTCTAATAGGGTGATATGGTACTACAAGGTCATTAAGATAAGATGGGGCCTGATTATTTAAGACCTTGTATGTGAGGAGCAGGATTTTGAATTCTGGATTTAACAGGAAGCCAAAACAGGAGAAATCTGCTCTCTCTTTCTAGTCCCTGTCAGGACTCTTGCTGCAGCATTTTGGATTAGCTGAAGGCTTTTCAGGGAGTTTTTAGGACTTCCTGATAATAATGAATTACAGTCGTCCAGCCTGGAAGTAATAAATGCATAAAGAGTGAGTTTTTCAGCGTCACTCTGAAACAGGATATTTCTAACTTTAGAGATGTTTGGTTATTATAACCAAAACTTCCTCAATGGTTTTAAAGGTTACTGTTGTGTGTGTGGCAAGGTGAGAAGGTGTTAAATGTATTCATCTTTTTATTAGACATATTTCACATTCATTGCACACCAACATCAATCATGAAAACAGACAGTCATGCACACACACACATGCTTCCAACTAAGGGCTGTGACAGCAAATATTTGCCCACATGTGGGGGCAGCTTGTCGGTTGCGCCCAGAATAAACACACCAGTGTGGATGTGGAATAATAATGTGGCGCATTTTAGCAGCTGCTTGGTCACAGCTTGTTTACAGTGTTGGAGGGTTCTCTTAAGCACTAATTTGTCACTGTCAGCTTTCTCGCACTTTCTGTTCATTTTCTTTTTCTCTTAAAGTACGAAGGCCTAACTGGGAGCTCAGAGATGTGTGTTTTAATTCTATTTTGAGCATATTTGTGAGTAAACATGAACTCTACCCTAAGACCAGGGTGCATGCATTTTGTGGTTAATGAGTGTCTAGTAGTAGTGAGTTTACTGTGAGGGCTTGTGTGTGTTTTCCATATTTTTTTAAACCTAATATGTGTGTGCCACATATACCAAGGCTCAGGGATTGGCGTGGAGGTTAATACATATCCATCCTGGCTGGTTACACAGTTCAACTCTGTAATCAGCACCTGAGCAGTACACAACGCTGACAGCAGATTTACTACCCATGTGTGTGTTTCTGTCAGTAATCAGACTCTTGGCATTTTATTTCTTAAAAGGAGAATGTGGGTTATGTGCGCAGTGGTGCGCATGCATGTGCTCGCATCTCCTGTCTGCATATGTTTGTGTTTTGTTGTTGAAAGATTTACACAGCAGTGTCTCACCTACCTCAGTCGTGTCTTGTCTTGTCCCAGTCTGCTTTCTTGCTAAGACTAGGCACACAGCATTCATCCTTACCTGATGTACTGTACACAGTGCAGCTCTGCAGTCTTCTGAGATGAAGCATGCAGAACTTGTTTTAACTAATAAAACTAAACAAATAAAGCCAGATAAAGCAAGACAGGACAATGAAGCGAACTTATTTGTACATGTTAAATATTGTGCTGTACTCAATAGTCGGTACACACACGCAGACGCAAACACGCAAAATAAAAACTGCAAGGAAGTGTAATTTATGCACATATGTTCACGTCATGTGGAAAACAACGTCCCCTTCTATGTGGTGCTTGCACGATCTCGCCAAGTTTATGCTGGTTTCCTCTGGGAGCCGCTCCTTCGCCCGTCATCACAGTGCAGCTGATAGTTGAAGCAATCTTTCAAAAGTGAACACAAGGGCCAGACTTTGCATGTTTGTCCCTCTGGAGCCATTCATTTAAAAAATCCCATTAGCCACAAGAATCTTTGAAATTTTCCCAGTTTAGCCATCGTTTCCATCTTAGGAAGCACCTGTTTTACCACAGAACCAGAGGTTTTACTTTTTGATTTATATTCTTTTGATTATAATTTATAACTTTTAACTTAAAACTTCTTCAGAGCCTCTTTGTTTCAAGTAAAGCACGGTTTTGCACCATGTTGTGCCAGTGGTCAGATATCAGTTGCAGCTGCACAGTGCTGGGCAGGCCGAGGATTTCCCCTCTGATAACGCTAGGATGTGTAAATACAGGTTCAGACATTTAACATTCACTCTGTATGATTTATTCCCCTGAAATATAATGAATTTCATGAAAACTCCTTCACCCTTGGCTCAGCTCTTCCATGCCCACACCAATTTTTGTATTATTGCTGTTATTATTGTTATTTTTTGTGTTGTGTAAGTATTTACCATCACACCAAATGTTAGAATCACCAGTTAACCTGACAAGCAATCTTTGGACATGCTTGTCAGGTTAAACCCAACAAGGCCACCAATGTGCCTCTGTGCTGCCCAACAACTTGATATATAGGCTAACTTGTGCTCTGTGCTTAACCTACTCTAGTTTTTAATACTTTTTCACCCCTTTACGTTGTACTCAAAGTGCACTGCAAGCTGCACTTACAGACATATTTTTAAAGCTCGTGCACACATGGAAACCTGTAAAGGTGCATAGGGAGGTCCTTCGGTTTTAGTCTCTTGCCCAAGGACACTTCAACATAAGGATGCAGAAATCTTGGTCCCCGATTGCACACTGGCTTCCCATTGTTCCTCATACAAAGGATAGCTTAAATGCAAAAAATGTGTTTCCTGATGGGGCTTAATAAAGACAATCTTCCACTTTTCTGGCATAGTTGGTTAATGTTTTGATTCTCTTTGATACAGTAACTAAGTCCAAAGGCAATACACTTGAAGAAAACCTCAAGGAAAATTGGTTTTGTCATACATTTTAAGAACATACATTTCAACTGGTGCACTATTTTTCTGAGGTGAAAGCCAGTCCACTCTTGACTTAAAAAGATGTTGCCTGTGTTTGTGGCATCTGTTTGTTGAGTTTTCTGACCGCTCATTCATGCAACATGTCTTCATCTGCATCTTGAAGAGTTTCTTGCATTTGTACATGCAATCACTTGCTAGACTCATTCTGTAGGCGTCCATAAGCATTTTTTCTACTTACCTCGAATTCTACTTGCATGGTGTTGAAGGTTTGATTAATTATTTCCCCTTTTCTTTTTTGTTGAAGAAAATGGTCATTTTGATGAATATTTTTATGGATAATTGTCGTCTTTAAAAGGCTCAAATATGTCAAAAAAGCAAGCAGTTTTGCACTTTCAAATGACCGTATATCTCATAGCATTAAATTTAGTCGTTTAATGTATTTCAGATTTTGATCATTGATATATGATATAACAAACACTCCTTGTTTATCTGTTGTCATCCATTTTTCTCTGTCTGAAGACAAATCAAGTCTCCTAACATCCAGAAGCAGACGGTGCCAGGTGAGATGAGGAAAGACGCCCTGATTGATGGACATCCCCACTCGTTATCACAGGTTTGATTATGTTCGTACGTTTATGTCAGTGTTATGTTTGGATTCTTTTTCATGTTTCCAACCAGCAGAGTTCAGTTTGGTTCATTCTCAGTTCATCTACCTGTTTTTGTTTCCCCTCTCACCACCAATTGCAAATGATGTCAATGAATTTCTTCTTCTTCTTAGCTGTGCTGTAGTCCCTCCATTCATAGATCTCAGAGTCTTAACCAGAAACAAAACTCAGTTCCATACCTAAAAACTGCATCATGGTGACTCACATGGGAATAGCAACACACTGTGTCTAGTCAGACCTCATGATGTACCCTCTCTGATGTAATTTGTGTAGTTGCTTACCTGCTTAGACGTCAACAAGAGTGTTGACTCACTGTGTGAGTGCACACGTATACTTCTACTCGTCTGCAGGCTGAGGTGTTAATATACAGAGTGTAGCCATGCCAGGTTATCCCCAGGGGACGGATGAAGTAAAGTACATTTACCTTCCTGCCAAACAGACCAAGAGTCTCTCTCAGTCTGTTTTTCTGCTGAACTATTCTGCTATTTGTGTATTCTGGCAGCCAACATTCAACTTCCTATTTCTGTATCTAAACAGTGTCTGTGAAACACACATTAGTATTGCTGCAAGCTGGAAAGAGACATGACGTGCATGTCAGGTACAGGGACGTGGGACACGCTGAAGCGGACCTTACCTAGTGCGTCCTTAGTGCGAGTCTTTTTGAAGTTACACTAACAGCTGAACGAAGCGCCCTTGATTCAGGTGTAGCATATAAATACAGCTGCAAGCTTTGGGACAAACTTCCTTCTTTCATGTGCGAAAAATAAAACTTACTCCAAACTCCTTTGGTGGCCTTTCTCTATTTTTTGTAAACATCTTCATATTTTGAACTCTGTCGAGCTGCTTGGCTGTAGCAACAGTCCCCATGAATATACAGCACTTTACATTCAAATGACATCAATCGTTTTCTAGATTACAGCAAAGTATATTTGCGCTCCTCTTGAATGTCAGACAGGCCTCCAAGTGCTGCTGTTCGTCTTTTAACTCGTTCCAGTGGAGGTGACCACATCACTCTAACTCTTGTTGACCTTCAGTGTTTACCAGATTTTACTGCTTGTTTTCGAAGCTTACACGGTCATTCGCCTTTATGTTTGTGATCTCTTTTACTCTCCTCGGCTCTTTGAGGTTCTTTAAAAAGCCCTTTCTGAAAATCTCTGATTCGTATTTTTTTTTAAATATTATTATTATTATAGCATATTATTAGCAGTGTTATCATTAGTATCATTCATCCTGAATACAATATAACCATCACATTTTTGTTGACTACATCATTTAATGTTTGGGATGGCACTAAATGTGGCAGACGCTCAGATATGTCAATTGGGAGAGATTGGAGAAGAAGCATCTATCTTGGATAAGAAGCTTTGAGAAAGGCCTCGGGTCTGCAAAATTTTGTTATTTCCATTTATTTTTGTAGTTATTGAATATATTAAAAAATACTGAGCAAAGGAAATGTTCGTCTTCAAGCAGATACATGCAATCAGACTGAAATCCCTGTTTATTGTCATTGATCTGTGATGCTCCACCCTCCTGGTTTCCTGTGCTATTCTTTGCTGTTTCCTCTGGCAAGAGCCTCAGTCGGTCTTCAGAGCAACTGGCTGCACCTGAGAGGTGGGCGTGGCCAAGAGAAGAAAAAGAAGCAGCTCTTTCCGGCTGCTCTCATTCTTAATAAGTAATCTGAGCCAGATGTTCTGCATAACAATATACAGAACAGTTTTCACAGGACTACATGATTCCACCACAGCATTGCACTTGGGCTGAGCTTTGGTTCATCGTCCTGTTGCATTCATGTCACATTTGACTCTAAAATGCTTTCGTGTACAGACGAGTTCACGATTAACTCCATAACTGCAAAGTGCTCAGGTCCTGTAGCTGTAAAGCCCAAATCATCATCCCTCCTGAGGTTGTTGCAGAGGTTGTGTAGTTTGTTTGGTTGGTAATGTGCATATCTACAGGAAGTAGTATGTTCTTTTAGAGAGAAGAGGCCTTCTCCTGACAGCCCTTCCAAACAAGCCATACTTGTCTGGGATGGAGCTCTTAGGTTTAATGCAATTATTCTGAGACTCTGTTTACAGTCTGACCTTGGGGTGAATTTGCTGGGACGCCCACTACTGGGAAGATTATGGGATTGTGTTAGGATGAACCAGAACGCTCCAGACCATTAAACTTCTGCTTTTACAAAGATATGTTACACCTAGACTATAAAAGGTGCTGCTACTGACCTTCTTAATTCTGTGGGTGTACTTAGTTTTCCACAGCACTACATGGTGTCCTGTGAAAGCTCTTTTTTTCACTGGACTGTAATTCCTTTTGTGCTGACATCTTACATAACATTCTTGCATACTTTCACTTATCCATGCGTGCTTTATAACGTTAACTCCTTTCATGTCTCAACACAGATTTTTAGCCGTGCCAGCGGCATGGCTCTAAAGCTTTCTCGGTTAATCTTGATATTTAGAGAACTATTCAGTGGATTGCCATGAAACTCGATACAGACATCCACTATACTTAGTGCTTAAACCCTAACTTTGATGATCTACCAGCTTCTTCCACAACAAACTTTTGCATCTTTTTAACATTTGCGGTTCAAAGTTAAATGTTCACTGGATGAAATCTCATGAATTTGGCACACATTTGTCTCCTCAAGATGATTTTAATCATGTTGGTAACTCCTTCAGCAAAACCTCAATTCTAATACACTTCATTGAAAACATTCCCATCAACCTATTTCTGGGCATTAATAACTGTTACTATGTCATTAACCTAGAAGGACAATCATGGCAAACAATAGTGCGGTTACAAACGAGCATGCTAGCTTTGACAGTCTTGATTATGCCAAAGCTAACATGTAGTCCAAAACAATGTTGTGCTTAAGCTTTGAGGATATAGTCTCACTGAACCACAAAGGCGGCTGTAGAGTCTTAGACTTGTTTTAAAATGAACATAAAATTCACACAAACTCCATTAGAACAGTTTATAATATAGATATTTCTGTCTCCAGACCGTCTGACGTCAAAGACTCCTTTGATCCTTATGAGTTATTGCAAAATCCACTTTAACAGTGATTTCACATGTGCACCACATTTTAGTCAATTCGATTGCGCAGTTAAGTTGAAGAAAAACGTTTCCCCATTTTTGGGGCAGGTTTCAGAAGAAATTTATCACTTGGACATCAATCCAACATGAATAAGACTTAAGTTTCTTAGACGTCAGCTAATAGACAGCAATTTAATGTAATACATTTTGAGGTAAATATAGGAGGAATTTGTTAAAAATGCAACAAAGGCATACCAATAAAACATTGAAATGTTGAAGTCAGGTTACATTAGATCAAATATTCACTGGCTATGGAGACACAACATACAATCTGTATATCCGGTCGTTAAGTGATGACGTGACGAATCCTACTTCCGGGCCTAAAGTAGTCTGCGTTTAATATGGCTTTTGTGTTGTTAACATGTTTAATGTTTTGTATTTTCTTCTATTTGATCTCAAAAAGCTCCTAAAACAGTCAGTGATCCCTGTTGACCTCCCTCGGCTTTTATTACCGCTAATCATTTATTTAAGCTCAGTTTTTGAAACCTTAGGATGTAACTACAGCCCAGCCCATGCAGCAGTATATGAATGACTAACCTCGTATTGTGGATGGATTATCTCAGTTGTTCTCCTGGCTGAAGTTTGGTCCGTTTACAGCATCCTGCCATGCGATTACATTTGTTCCTGACCACCGAGAACACTCACGTTAACTTTTATCCAGTGGAAAAAAAGTTAGCTTGTTTATATTATGCTAACATAGCTGTGTCGCTAGCGGTCACGTAGCACATCATTATATACCAGCTAGCCCAACTTCAGTAACCCTACAAACGTCACTGCTGTTTAGTTTTCTGTCTTCATTTATGCTGGAAGTGATAGCAGAGCTGTACGTTTTAATTTGTTTCCAAAACCCCGCAGTCAGGACATGCTATATTGTATTTAGATAGAAGCTAGCGAGCTAACTCCCTGCTAACTTCTAACTCCGTTAAATGTCATAAATTCCGTTTTCATGGATGCCTGGATGTTAAACTCAGTTGTTACACCTGGTAGAGCAGAACGCTGATCATTTTATTAAAGATGAAAGACTTTAGACAGTTTTTCAACTCTCAGTAATGCCATAGTGATCGTTTGATATATGGACCTGCAGCGGAGTTTAGGTCCAGACACGGCTAGTGACATCAGACATTACGACCAGATTGTGTCTGCTCAGCGGTGAGGCTGGTTGTGGCCTCTTCCTTTCTCTTTCCACTGCTCTCTGTCTCTCTCTTATCTCTGGCTCCATCAGGAACACAGCACGCTCCAAGGGTAAACACACACAAACAAACTCTCCCAATCTTGCCAGAAGAGTTTATGTGGGATGGAGCGATAACATCTCTTTGCTCCATTGTCTCCATCGCGCCACGCTGCACTTAACAAACACAGAGAAAACACATCGGAAGTATTCTCCTCAAACCTTCACACCGGCCTTTTATTTCTCTTTTAGCTGTAACTGAGAGGCATCAGCAACCCTCGGTGCTCACCTGTTCTTGAAAGTGAATTATAGCAAGGAAGGTTTCTTCTTCTTGTGTTTTTTGTTTTGTTTTTTGATTTAGGGGGAAATGTGAAGAAAAAAAAGATTGTTCCCAGAGTCTGTAAACTGGACCTAAATTACTTATGAGATGTCTGGCCCTGCACACATATTTAGCATATTTTAAATTATGAAACACAACAGTTCATAAAGACTGAGACAGATGTCTGATCATAGGTGCACAGCTGCTGGAAATGTGCATTCTCTCACTCTCCGCTCGTTTATGTAAGTGATCGTAATCCCTTCATCAAGCCAGAACAGACCAGAGCCATAATGATCCTTCCTGGGGGAATTAGGTGATGATTGTTGCTGCAGAGGCAATTATCTTTACTTTTCTCCCCGTTCTCTGTGCTTTTGTATCTTCTTGCCCTATTTTTCCCCATTCTTTGTAGTCTTGAAAGCCAGTGATATTCTCGTGTTACTAATAAAACTTAAAGCAAACATGTATGCACAGACACATTTATAGTGCACATTCATACAGGGGCAGACACAGCTTTCTGGTTAGGTTACACTCAGAGGTCCAGCAGTGGCAGCCCCATCTCAGTGGGGTGTGTGTGTGCGTGTTTCTGTCTGTTGGGTGGGGTCAGACCAGTACTTGTTGATTCTGGTGCATCGAGTTACCGCTTGTCTGTCACATCCAATTACAGTTTCGGACCGTTGACGCACTCGGCCTGGCTCTGTGTGTGCGTGTGGGTGTTTGTCGCTCACCTCCAGCTGTGCCATGCCGACGTAACGTGCCACAAGTATCCACTTGTGATTCAGATGGCTTGGCAATGTTTTCATCACACTTACGGATAATCCTGTTGCTGCAGTTTTAGTCTGCACCACTGACTCGCTCAGTGAGTTAGCCTCCTGCACTGATGGGCTGATAATTGTACCAACCTTATACTTATTTCCTCTTCTTTAGTATTTATTGGAGGCACTTAATAAGCTATTCATGTGCAACTTGTGTGTTCCTGGCGCTGTCTCATAAAATGACTTTCACTACATGTGTGGAATCCATCACAAGCGATTTCTCTTGTAATACAAAATATTTTCTAGATCCCTGTCAGACATGAGACATGTGCACATTTACAGGGCAGCTAAAGCTGGCTGATGCCACTCTTTCAAAGATTATATTCACTTTCACAAACATGTAGCATCTATTTCTGAGATGAAATATCATTTTAACAGCAGTCAGCCAGACTTATTCTCACTTTTCTCTGTTTCCTAGAGAGCGTCCGGCCATCCCTATTACTCAACAGTGCTTATTGCTTTTCACATACCTCGTTCACATTTATATTTTACATGTAGATGTAAGGCATGAGTATATCAGGTTTGTGACACTTTTGTTGCTCCTAATGGACAGATTTTGTAGCGTGTTGCCATTAATTGTTCTTTCTTACATACCCTTCTTATTGTCATCTTGTGTCACTGTGACTCTACAGAGAATTATGGGACTATATGTTTCTGTAATAGTTAAAGGCTCATTGTTTGATATGAGTTCAAACCAGAATTTGATTGTAATTCTATAATTCAGATCTGGGGTTTAGTGTGAAGTTTATAAGTTTGCTTTATCAGTTCATTAGTTTAACCATTTAAAATCACTGGAAACTGTTTCCTCATCCACGTGTCCACAAAGCTTCTGTAGTGCTCCCAGAAAAGTGTGAACGTGTGAACTAGAAAGTGAGTCAACGCTTTCGGTGCTGCAGAGAAAGTTGACAAAAAAAGAAAGGTGGCGAGATGGAGAATCAGAGGGTTTATTATTTCTGTCCAGTGTTTTCTTTCACAGTTCCATCAACCAGGGTGGAAGCGGATCCTTTTCTTCCACTCACCATAGGTGTGAAAGGCCACACACAAACTGCATGTAAATGTACACAGTCTACTCCACACCTACAGATTCTCACACTCACATGGATGGCAGCAAAGGTCACAGCACTTAGAAACTCTTTCTGCCCTACTTATCTCTCTCTTGTGTCTCGGCTGTGTCTAATTCTTCATGTGGGAAGTCTGTTTGCTTCTCTAGCTGCAGGATTTGTTTTTCTTTTCTTTCATTTCTGATTTAGCTAGAATGATTTTTTTTTTTTGCAAAGGGCCAAACAGTGCAGTGTGAATGCAGATGATTTGTGCACCAAATCGTTTGAACATTTAAGAACAAACTATACTGAAAAAACATTCATCTTCCTGCTTTTTGCTGCTTTGCTTCCAAAACCCCTCCCCTTAAATCTTCATGCCCCTAGCTTCCTCTTTTGGCTTCCCAGGATGCCATGCGGGACACAGCTGAGCGGATCATGGAGCTGGAGAGGGCACTGAGAGAAAGCATGAACACCTCTGCACATAGGGAGGCTCTCTGGGCACAGGAGGAGGCTGCCCGGGTTCAGGCCCAGAGACAGGTTTACCCGGCGTAGCGCACGCGTATTGGGCGCCATACCACCATATACATTTACTCGCACGCATGCACACAGATAGCCTCGAGGCTCTCCACACAGGTTTCCTTGTGTACCTTTTAAACTCTGTGATCAGTTGATCAGATCATTCAGGACTTCAGGACCACTGCAAAAAACAAAACTTAACTGCGCCTCCATGTGGTTCAAAATGTAACTGCAGGCAGACCATTATATCATTATTACTAAATGGGTAGTTGTTTTTGTTTCCTCTCTGTTATTGCTTTTTCTTCTTAATTTACTTTTTATTCTCTAAACACTCTTTTGTTTATTTTATTCTTCTTGACTGAAATTTCAAACCAAAAAAAAGGAGAAAAAATTCCAGTGGCCTCCTTTCGTTTTTTCTTGTTAACTTTGCATCTTTGAAAATGTAAGCATACGTTTGAGATGTTGTGAGTTTATGTCTCTGTAAGCAGAGTGACTGACAAAGCTGGAGACTTGATGGAGCACAGGTTGCTCCTTTTAACCACATGTCCTGCTTATCTGGCTGCCTTTCTGGCTGCCTGCTGGTCCGTCTACAACTTTGAGCAGGCCCCAAAAAAGTTTACGTGTGTGTGTGTGTGTGTACGTAGGTGTGTCTGCGGTGGGAAAGAGAAACAAGGCAAGGGAGTGTGTTTCCTCTCGGTGTGAGCATGCATTTGAATGAGAATGACCTCGCATTACTTATGAGTGCCACAAGTAACATGAGAGCAATCGGCGGTTAAAACAAGAACCAACATTTTGAGGCAGAATGGCGGCTATATTGCCTCAAACACACACGTGTGCTTCCTGGGAGAGTTTAAAAGATGAAGAGAGGCCGGAGCAGCAAAGTAAGAGAAGGTCAAACTCAGTTTAGAAAATTTTGCGAGCGCCAACGCTAACTGCGGCTTGTTTTTTTTTGTTTTTTTTCTCCCTTCTTTTCACAATTTCTGTACTTTTGCACGCTTGACTTGCATTCAGCATGGATACTGTGTTTATCAAACAATATTCTGATTCACTGCAAAGTCAGAAAAGTATATTTATGTCTGAGGGACTTTTTGCACGCATAGAAGTAAATGATTCAGCTGTGACCTGAGATTACCCAAAGATTCAGGAAAAGCCTTTTCTAGCTGATGACACATTAACATTCATTGACCCCACGAGCCATAGTCACAAGCCTTTATTATAAGTCAATCCAAACCCTACGCATAGAAAACATACCGAGCCAGCGTGTGGTCATACTAGCGACTGAACTTGACACGAGCTGAACTAGAATGGAGTTACAGCCACACTGTTGACACAAGGAAAGCTGCCCGAGTGCTCAAGGTGCTCAGTCACCGATGCTCACTGTTCGCTGTCAAAGGAGTGAGCTTTGTCAGCCAAAATAACGTTACCACATAAGAAGGGAGCGGTTCAGCATGCCATCATTTTAAAACTAGACAGTTGTCAGTCAATCACCAGTCTTGCCTCGGAGACTGGAAAAGAGTGCGTGGAGCGACTTAGAGAGGAACCAGTTCCTTTGAAACATCACCTGACTCTGGCACTGCTTCAGCCCGCCCTGCCAAACTCACATTCTCACCCCTCCTCTCCTCACTCTTTGCTTGATTTTCTTCTTTCTTCTCCCTTCTGTCCCAGAGTAATCAGTCTCATGATGTGTAATGCGCTGAAAGTCTTCCATCAGCCTGACCTGCTGAAATGGAGCATGGGTAATGCCCTGGGTCACTTTTTTTCACACCCTTGTTTTCTAAGTCTCTCACTCCCTCTGCCTCTCGTCTTTCTCATACAATCATCTCTGCTGTCCAGCCACTGTCCCGAGCCTTGCGTGTTCCCATCTGCCTTCTTAAGTTGTCTCACGCAATTATCTCTGCGCTCTCTCTCTCTCTTGTTCTTGATTTCTGCTGTTTTGCTCTCCCCTCTGTGGCGTTTGAACTAGGCCTTTGAACCAGCAACACAACGCAAACGGACAAGAGGGATTTGGCCCTTACCTCTGAGCCCTCAATCAGCTTATCAACTAAAGGGGCTTTGGGCCAGCCTTAGAAGGCCTTAGCCTGGCTGGGGGGCTTTGCCTTGAAGTTGAGCTAAATTAGCACGCACAGGCTCACTGCTAAGCTGATTAGGTCCCTAATTTCACTAAAATGCATTGTATTCCTTATTAATGATGTGATTGTGAAGTGAGGGCTAGCCTGGGTGGTGGACTAATAAGGGACTGGGAAGGGAAAAGTTGGTGCATGAGGGTTGATAGGCATGTGGTGGGTGTAAGTGGAGCTGTGTGTGTGACCCTTGGCTTTCAAGAAGAAAAGATTGGCTTTGTATGCACTCGATCCTGGAATCAAACAGTGAATATTAAAATGGTGTAAGTTTGGAGACTTGCATATTTTGACGTTACTCGGTCTATTAACAGCTAGAAACTACTGAGGTCAATTGTTCTTGGCAGAGCTATGGGGTGTATTTTATTGAATATATTGAATATTTTGTTACATTTTGAAGAAGTTTTCACTGAAAGTCGTCATTTTCCAACCGTACTGTTTAAGTTTCAGCGCTCCGCACTCCCTTTGCTTTTTTCTTCTTGTATTCAGCGTGTGATATTCATGAAGAGTGAGCACGTAAGCTGACATCTGTGAAACACACCTAGAAAACTGGAGGAGATGGAAACTGTCCTGAAAATGTGTGAACCATTTGGCTCCTTCATAAAAGAGGCCCATTCCTTTCTCTCATGTCCTACCCCATGCAGTGGTTTTCCCCAATAATCCTTTTCTCTGCATTTTTCTTTCTCCTTTTTTTCTTCCAAACTTTAGATTTTTTTTACCCTGTATCACAAATTAGCAGCTCATCAAAACTAAACAATGATAAATGTATGTTCCTGTTGTTTTACATTTACATCTGTACATGCTTGAGTAATACTGCATCCTATTGTGAAGTGCTAGCTGTTAGACAATTAGACACTTCCTGTCTAATGACGCCCTGAGGTCATATCCTGTCAGACACACATGTGTGTGCAGATACAGAGGATGCAGTCAAGAGGTTGATCATTATCCTCAGCTCTAAAGCACAACTGCACTTGAGAATATGATAAGTGAAAGGCGAGGGTGGAGAGGAGAGGGTCAGAACAATCACTCAGCTAACCTGTGACCCCGAGTAATTTCTCCTGCTCCTAAATGTCAGCTGGCCATTGATTTTCAATGTTTAGGCTGTCATTTTATGTCATCTTTTAGCAATCCAACACACGTTCTTTAACACACACACACAGACAGCAGATAACTTGTCCTATATCAAATTACTTTAGCATGCTCACTTCTGTGTGTGAGTGTGCATAAGTGCAGAATAGATATGTTTCTTTGTATTATTATAAACTTATCTTATAATTAAGAACGGATCAATGTGGGTCCTCTAGTGTGTTTATACCACCTTCCTTCTTTTTCTTCCACTGAATAGCTGGAGGAGCTGATGGGAGCTTTGGAGAAGACGCGCCAGGAGCTGGACGCCACAAAACTGCGTCTGTCCTCCACTCAGCAGTCGCTGCATGAAAGAGACGGACATCTGAACAGTCTGCGACAGGAGAGACGAAAGCAGCTGGAGGAGATTCTGGAGATGAAGTGAGTGTCGCAGTCACCTACATGTCTACATATACCGCACTCACTTTCAGTTACATTAGGTAGCTTTTAGTTGAAGTTTAACTGAATTAAGTACAGCTGTCGGCCCAAACATCTGTCTTTACAAAGTGGTTAGTGTTGTGGTTTAGGTCACAATATTAGAAACGTGCCATTTTCATGTGCTTATTGTTTAGGTTAAAGTTAAAGGCAACGTTCTTGCAGTGCAAGATGTGTAGTAAAATGAGTAGCACTGGATATTTTAGTAATAAGATGCTAACAGAGGGGTAAAAATTTGAGTCATGCTGTATTACTACTTTAGAAATACACCATGTTTTTAGGTAAGAAGTCACAGCACTGGACACCATGTTTAACATTATTTCCTTGAAATATCAGGACTGTGTGAATAATTTCAGTTGTAAGAAGTTAATTATCAAATGTTTTACTTTTTTAAAAATCATGTGATTTGATGCATCTGAGGCAGTTTGGGGTTCAGTATTGAGTCAGGGAACACATCAACATGCAGACTGGGAGAGTCTGGAATTAAACCACTGTCCTTTAACTTTCTAATGTTTGTTTTTGGCTCCATTACACTATTACATAAATGCCATTCAAATGTATCTCAAGTAGAAATTGTTGATCCCAAGTTAATGTTTTCAGTTACATAGTAATTTCTTAGTTATGCATTTTTAAAATTAAATTATTGCCCCAGTACCCCAGGTGTTGACACGGAGCTACCATATCGACTGGTAGTGACCGATACTACACTTTTCTACTCAGTTTAAACACTTTCTTGCTACAAACCTCATTCACCCTTTCATACAAAAGCCCTTTTCTGTGCATAAGCACTAACTTAATGTTCACAAACACTATAATAAATGCATTCAGGGGAACTCTTGGTTAAGTATATTGTCCAAGGATACTTTGACATGCAAGTTGGAGGATCGAACCACTGACCCTCCGATTGGTAGATGACCTGCTGTACCTCCTGAGCCACAGCTGCCTCTGAAGGGGGGGATAAAAGTACACTAAAAGTGTGAGTGCAAGTGACTGACAGCCCATAAAAGTAGATTTTCTTTTTTTGGCATGGTATGATGGGCACTGGCATGATTTACTCACTGTTTTATCAAGAACATTTGTAAAAATAGCAGCATTTTTTTCACTGCAGCTCATAAACCTGTGTCTAATATTGTATTAGGCACATTTATCTGCTCACCTGTTCACATATGCGTTCGTGTTTGAGTGTGATATAGACATCAGCTCTGAGGTGTATTCTGAAGCAGGATCAGCCGTCGTCTAAAGGTGCCTCGTGAAAAGTTCAGTTTATTGAGGACAGGTGGTGTAGTCTTAGATTTGTGTGCAGCTCTTGCTTCGTGTGTCTTTGTGACACAGAGGGAGTTAGAGCAGAAGGAAGCTTAGGAGGATGTGTAGAACTGTTTGCATTTCCATGTGTGAGTGTATGTCAGTGGTTGTGTATGGATGTGTGAGTGAGTTCAGTGATCTGCAAGTGGCTTGGCTACATGTGCGTTTGCTTTGAACGCTCTGATTGAAGGAGCATGGAACCACATATCTGCTTGTCATGTGCTGCGGAGAAATGCCTTTAATGTCAGCTACTCAGTGCAGTACAAAAGAGAAGGCTGGCACATTCTGTATGTATTGAAAACACAATTGTTAAAGCCTACTGTGGCTTCAGCTCTTCAGACCACACATATCTGATGTACATATAGCTGTATAGGGTATTTCTGACTACTGACAGCAGGGTGCCCTTTGCCTGTCTGTCTTCATACACGCACACAAACACACACACTGCTGATACAAACCACCTTCCTGTCTGTTTCAATTTCCACCCTCCAAGCATTACTGGGAATGTTTATCAGTGGAAATGAATAACATATGATAAAGTCAGAAAGCGTGGTCTACGTACAGTATAGAAAAATGCTCAGCAAAGTAGCATGTGATTATTTTAGTGAGTTAGTGGTCCGGTAGCTTATATTGATTTTATTAGAAATATGTCTGAGGAAGAAGGTTGTTGTGATGATTCGCTGACATGAACAACAAAAACAACAAAGCAGAACCTTCAGCTTTTGTTCAAGCCTGCATTGGTAAGACCTTTAGAAATTTGCCATTGATAAGGGGACATGAGGGGCATGAATGTGCATGTTTGTGTGTGTGGTCTGTTGTACACGGTTAAGTGTGTGTGTGCGTGAAGAGGTTAGAAGCAGGGGTTAGGGGTCACTGGTGATGAGGATTAAAGGACTGTTGAACTGCAAAGGGCAAAGCTTCGTGAGACTGACACACATCTGAACAAGCTGCAAAGATACACTTGCAGAACGTACACACAGCCTCAGTGGAACTCGCATATAATCACTCACGTCTGCAGACATGCACATACTTACACAAACTGTGGCTTACTCCTTTAAAAGGGGCCATATTCCCAGAGCACAGCTCTGCTCCAAGTTAGCAGAGGGAAAGCTAAACAGGAAAGATAGAACAATGAAAGAGAGGTAGCAAGCGAGACACGTTAGGGGGAAAGCAGCAAACATTCGGGCAGAAAGAGGGAATGAGAGGGAGCAGAGAGTGGAATGGAGGGACTGCACATGCTGAAGCATTTCAAATCTTAAATCATGAGAGAAGTTTGACTGCATGCCAAGTTTCTCCTTCCCTCTGCTGTAATGTGGCATTTGTCAAGAAGACCAGCTGAAGCAAACCATGTGAGGCACGTCTCCAATGAATTGGAGAGCTTTCTGTGTGTGTCTTTAATGTGTGCATATATATGTGTGCGTGTGTGTGTCTGTGTGTGTGTGTGTAAGCCAGAGGGAGGTAGAGAACTCTTGGCTTTTCAACACTGTTAATGAAAGAGACAAGGAAGGAAAAAGCATTTTCAATACTCTCATTGCATTCTGGGTTTCCCTGTTCATCGTGTGTGTGTGTGTGTGTGTGTGTGTGTGTGTGTGTGTGTGTGTGTGTGTGTGTGTGTGTGAAAGAGAGAGGGAGAGCATTTTCATATTTGCCTTTTACAGATATAGCTATATAGCTGAATGCTTAATG